TTTATGGAGCAATAAAGCAGCAGGGTATGCTTTCGGACATTCCCTTCTTGTGACTGACACATAACTGCTGTGTGGATATGCACTGTGTCCTTAAGTTCCCACTTTCATCGTTGTTTTATGTTTTAGTTTTTTTAAGCAAGACATGAAAAACTAAAATACTCAGCTATGCAAATCCAAACAGTTTTCAAACTGACAGGTGGCCATGTTGTCTTTTTAATATAACGTGTAGACAATGACATTGCCAGTTTTCTACTCATATCAATAGTTTCTTCACTACGTTTAGCATAAAAGATCTTACGACAAATGCGTATACAGTTGCTACACACATTTCACCTACACCTGCTTTCTTTTTTGAGGATTTAACATGAACAACATGCTGTTGTTGCTTCATGTTTCGCCGTGTCTTGGCACATGTGCTGATACGTAGCGCCTTCATCTTCGCCCAAGGCGGTAAATGAATGTGTAGTTTTGCTAGCATACTTGCAGTAATCTCTCCTAGACTGCTGTGTGTGTCTGGTGGCCTGTGGTGAGGAGTCTGGCCCAGCGTCATCACCCAGACTCCCACATTGCTACACATATGGTGCTGCCTTTGTGTCAATTGTACTCTATGGGGTTTCTGATAATTAACAAGATGACAGACAAATGAAATGACAAGCACAAGGTGGATTAGATTTTCCACTACCTTGTCTTCTTGCTTTGTTTTTCATTTAGTTGCATTCAACTTCCATATTTTGAATGTTTTAGATTAATTTCACTTTTTTCGCAAGGTGCTCATAATGTAACTGCAGTTTCTACTTTGCAAATGGCAAATTTAACAGACATTTTCTGTTAAAGTTTATATATGTAATGCCTGGTCTTGGATTTACATGCTGTGTAAAAGTGCCGCATCAGTTTTGAAAGGTACAGACATGATTATAAATGGACTGGAATACATTTATCAACAAGGACTGCCAAGGATACTTTTCCTTCATGTCTCTTCTGTGCCAGACCAGACTCATGGAACTGGAAAGACATTGTGAAAGACTTACATTATGAGTGTGAAGACATATCCCTAATTATTTGCCAGAGAATAATCTAAATGATTTGTCACAGTATCAGCTGTAGCTATTGCAACAAATGAACAGTTTTCCTCTATATTACCGTTGTTTTATTCAGAGCCAACTCTACAATGTCAGACAGCACTGTTACTAATCCGACTGCTAATATTATCTTTTTGAGTTCTCGAGAAGAATTTTGTTCTGAGTTTATCTACCAGGAGAGTGTAGATAGTTTTTAGATTGTTGGAATTTTATTGCATACAGAAAAAGCCCATTCGGTTCAGTGAAACATGGATCATAAATGGATGTCACACACGAATTTTGGATAGTAATAGCATTCCAGCTGTACCTAAGCGGTCTAAACGGCTGCATTACTAAACATATTTGGATAGAACTCCTCGGAACACTTTAGCATGATCCGAAGTTTTCCCAGTCATTATTAACTTCAGCATGATCCTTAAAATTACAATTGCACCAAGATTTTGTTGTTGTTGCTCTGTTTTGTTTTGTTTTTCATATCCTAAAAAAATATTTATGTTCCTGTTGACATGATCAAAAGCCTTCATTATAAAAGCACCATTGCTTGCTGCAGACCTTAATTGGGGCTTTGGCAAAAGCAAGAAACATTTGATTTAATGGCTTCATCCCAAACAGGACTGCATGGCTTGCATTATAGCTCACTTTTTATATTGCTGAATTCCCTGAGGGAAGGACAGAGATGTCATCATTAGTGGGAAGTAGACTCTGGCTGTGTTGTCTGTGATGACTGCTGAGGTCTATAGCATGGTCAGCCAGGCCTGTGGCCCAGTAGCTGTGTCTGCTCTCTGTTTTCCCTGTCTAGGCTTCCATCTGGCCACGTGATCCTGCGCCAGTCTGCTCCTGCTGAATAAATTTGGGGAGCTAATGAGGAAGGAAGCTTTGTGAGGAACTGGAAAAGGGCACATCTTCCTCTCTTTTCCTCTGAGAAAAGGAGGTGGAAAAGTCGCTGTGGTCAATTTTATTAACTTGGCTGACCTTCACACAAACAATTAACATTTACAGAAAACGCAGCCCCTCCCATTATCTTCCTCATCTCCATCTTTAACTTCACTACCAGCAGGATTGTTTTTTCTTTTGCGAAGAAATTTATAAGACAATTGTAGATTGATGGACAACCCGCTGCATGTATTTTATAGACAGTAGCAAGGATATGTTGGCAATACTGCAGAAATTTGGATATCTTTTATTCGTTATCAGGTTTAGTAATTGGCTAAGGGCCACCATTCTCACAGTAATAAACCAACAGTGAGCAGTAACTGCGTGACCTTATCTTGTCATTGTTGTATGAGTCCATCAGCAAACCACTGTGCACTGAGTAAAATCTGTTCCAATAAATCTGTTAAAAAAAAGTGTGTATTCATTTATGTATACTAAACAAAACTAGACAATCCACTAACTGGGTCGCAGAGCCTGGACCAAGTCTAAACCTAAGCAGCAGGTGAGTCCAAAAACAAACAAATAGCAGTTCTGGTCACCGGCCACGGGACAAGCGGCACTTCACTGGGAACTGCCAGAGGCGACGGGACTCCTCAGGCAGCTTGGTTGGAGGTTGTCAACAGACGCGACGGAGAACCTTGGGCTTGGGCAGAACAGGACCAAGTGGCGGAGCACAGACCTCTGGCTGGGACAAAACATGCTGTGCCACAGATGAATGAGGTCCACACGGCGCGGGCACCTCTGGGTAGGACAAGGCAGACGGTGCAGAGAGCTCTGGCTGGGCCTGCACAGGGCATACAGCAGGCTCTGGATAAGCTACCATTCTCATTCTGGAAAAACATATGGCCGAACACCAGTCATCCCCACCTATGGAACAGCTACAGGTGCAGAAGTGGACTGGGTCTCAGCTGCCCTCGCCCTGGAAACTGGTGCAGGGACCCACCGGACATCAGCTGCTTCCACCTGAGGAACTGGTACAGGTCCCGAGGTGGACTGGGTCCCAGCTGGCTTTAGCCTGGGAACAGGGACTGCTGCAGGGGCCAACTGGACACCAGTTTTGATAGTCCAGCACACATTCACAGTAAACAGTCTTCAAAGAGGATAATTCAGGGTCCTCAGAAGTGACTGGTTCAGGGAAGTAAACTGTGAAGTGACTTTAGAGTCGCTAGCCCAGCCTCTTTGCAGACTTTAGTGGGTCAGCTACATGATGCACACGTTTAATGTTGGTCGCTTTTGAAGCAAAAGAAACAGTCTTAGATTTTGATGGGCTAGTGGTACACTGAACAGTCATTAGGACCTTTGCATAGCAAACAACAGTTTTTGACTTACCGTGAACACGAGGGAAAAGGTCTTTCTCACTCACAGGGAATTGCTCTGCAAAAGAAGAGCAGCGACCATGGGAGCCTAGCATCTTCTTGCTCCCACTGCCCCCGACTCAAAACCTTCAGCGAGCCACACAGCGGCATTGAAGTGGAAATGCCAAGCATTTCAGCTCGTCTCCCTTGGAACATGAGGAGACACAATATATACAAGGAAGGAGGAAACAGAGCAGAGCGGAAACACCTGGGGAACACAGCTGAACATAGTCCGACTGATGAGACGGGAAGCAGAACAGAACATAATGCACACAGGACGAAGGACTGACAAAATAAGACAGGAAGCACGAGAGACGCACACAGACTGACTACATACAGAGGGTGAGGGCGAGAGCATAGAGGAACCAGATAGACACATAGGGACATGACTGGGGTAACAGAGGCAAATAAACATGGAGACAAGACTAACTGCACAGGGAGACACCTATAATTAACACAGAAAACTAGACACAAGAGGATGGGAAACACTAAGGAAGGACTTGCTCTTACACAATGTATAACAGAAGAAGACTAAATATGCCAAGGGAATGGCTACAAGAAACAATAATGAAATTAACCAAGCGTAGAATTCATAATAAAAAAAATCTAGAAAATCCACTAACTCAGAACGCTGGGTCACAGACCCAGGACCATGACAAATAACCAAAGTTACTTTGAGGCTTGTATGCTGCTTAATGTGAATAAATGTTGTTGATACCAAGCGTAGTATTATGTCTTTGTGCTGATAGCTACAACAGCAATCGGGGTCATTGTAGGAAGGTAGTAGTGTAATATTCAAGAAAAAATAACAATGAACAATAAAAAAAACAAATCTCAAAGAATAAAATCATGAGTGTATTAGAAAAAAGCCAAAAACGTTTTCACAGTCCTGGCCACTTGTATGTTTGGACTTTCTATTGATCGAGTTTCTTCTATCAGTGTTTCGGATTTGTCCAAATCTTGTATTATAGTTGAATGAAGAAACACATTTTAGACCCTGTTTTCTGCTCTTAATACCAGTTCAGTTTTATCAACCCCTGCTGTGGTTACTTGCTTTCATTAAGAAATATTCTGCTTAAGTTATTACGACATATAAACTACTTCGTTGTTATGATGCTCATAGTTCTTTTTCTCTTGCATTTCCAAATTGATGTTGATTATTCATAGTACTGTGTTTTTGGTTGTTGGTTGGTGTTGAGGAAAATACAAAGCACTCTAGTGGTATCAAGTAGTGAAGTAGAGTAGAAAGTACAAGTAGAGTATCAAGTAGAAATACATTTTACTAAAATTTTACCTACTTACTGTATAGTCTTCACGTAGACCTGGACCTCATCTGCAGGTTGACTTGTTAGGAAAGGCATGTGTCCATGAGGCAACATGTGCAGTTTTTCAAACTATTTACTAACCTAGTAAACTAAATAGGAACACAATAGTGTGAGTCCAAGCAAAGAGCTGTTGTGGACTTTTTTTCCTCATCTTTTTGTGTAAGCTAAACTGTCCTCCGTGTCTGTGCAATGATTTTCATGTTGATGTGGAGAGAAAATTACATTTGCATTAACAGTAGCTCTGTTGTTGTGGTGTGTGTGCGTGTGTGTGTGTGTGTGTGTGTGTGTGTGTGTTCTTCCATTTCTAGAACCTGATAAAGAACCTGCCAGAGCAGAAAGAGCTGAATGCGCTAGCAGAACTAAAGGGTGAATATGAGGAGCTTGTGGAGTCAGAGCAGTTTGGCATTGTGGTGAGTATAATTTTCTGGTGCCCGCTGCCTCCCAGATTCCAACAAGAAAACACTCTACACAATCACATTCCCTGTATGTTATAGTCAAATATTTGCAAGCACACACTGTTTAAAAATTGAATTTTTACTTCATTACACACTCACTTTTTTGGGGAGCTGCTTGGTTTGGACACTGGTAGCTTATGACAAGGATTTTTAGAAAAAAGCAAAACTTCCAAATGACAGAGGCTGTAGTTGAAAGCGTCCTTTTGACTTGAGCAAAGAACAGTTCAATCATTTTTGATTAGAATTCTGCATCAAGAACTTACTGAATGCCATATTTTGACATCAGCTGTCAATGTTGTCTCATGATAAAATCCTACCCTGAGGCTACCAATGCTGTCTGTAATAAAGTCCTTTGAAAGGTACGCAGTTGACATCAGTTGGCTTGGTGATCTTTCCCAATCCTCTAATCAATTTACCATGAACAGCCAAATTTCTGTCTTTTGCAGTGGTAAGATAAATAAAGTTATAGTGAGCCTTTTCGTATCACAACTTCACAAAGTAATCTTCATGTCTAGCACTCAGAAGAACTATAATTGTTTGATCGGAGTACGCATACACATATAAAGATACGTAAGACATATGAAGAGCTTTGTCCTGTTTTATTGTTCTTTTTTGTAATTCACAAATTGCCACAGACCTTTCAGAGACTTTCGTAACCACGAATCACCTTTGAACAGACTGAAATAAACAAACGAATAAATACAGATAAATATACACAAAATCAGCTTTGGACTTGTCCTATAAATGAAACAGATGCTACTGAGGATGACCGACAAAGTCAGGTTAAATTGTTTTACTGTAAATCTATTCTAGGAGATGGAAAGTACATCATCAAGCTACTCTGACCTTTACACTTAGTTACAGCTATAATGACTTTTTAATTAACTGCTCTCGCCATCCACTTACCAAGTGAAAACCCAGCACTTTAGGCAACTGTAAAAGAAAGTGTTCTTTAAAGGTAACTTCACAACAAGACACAGAGGTACATTATACAGGTCTACAAAAGAACTGCTAGAGCTAAATGTTAGACCTCGGGCTCACAGCTATATGTTACATTACACTATTTATCTCTTTACTTGTCTGTGTCTTTTGGAAGATGTAATGAAGCAGAGGGTGGCAAGTTTCCCTCATGATCTCACCAATGTTGTGATCGTACGCTGCCCCGCTGATGAAGTAGCGCCTCATTGTAGAGATATTCAGTTCCCCTGGGAAATAAGCTATGTTCAGGCTTTTCTCTACCAAAGCTGTCACCAATACGCTTGCTTTCAGTGTGTAATTTGTACTTATTGTAGACAAATCATTTCAAGTAAGAGAGAGAGAAGGAATGTGTGTGCATGTGTTTGTGATGGAGAGTAAGTGACTGAGTGTGTATAGCTGTGCCTGCAAGGAATTAAGGTAGAGGGGATTATGGGTATGTATTGCTATATATCGTATGTGTTTCTTGTTTGTTTTTCACCTGATTAGTATTTCTACTGCATTGGAACATATTGTGTTTTATATTATTTAAGACATTATTTAAGACTTGTTTATGGCAGATTTGCAGTTTATTGCAGCAGTATTACACTTGAGCTTGAACACGATGGTGATAGCGAGGCGCTATAGCTTTATAGGATTTCTGTACTTCTTTTCTTTTTTTTGCTTGTTCATTTTATAAAAACGTGGTGTACAGTATGAACCCACAATGTTTTGTCAAATATCTCTTAGATTGTGGATAGTGCTACTTCACTGAAATCTGTAATGATTAGATTAAGAAAGCCTTTTTGCTTTGATGCTGATGATCTGCATATATATATATAGTTGTAGGTTATTTGTCTAACGAGTGCTCTGGCATGCAACTGCAGTTTGCTTGTCAAGTAAGCCACAAATTGCTTCCAATCAGCAAAGTTTTGCTACTTACTTAATACATATACATTTATTGAGGGTAACTCACCCAGATAATGAGCTCATTGGGTTGTGTGTCGTGACACATTATTTTTCACATGAAAATTGTGTGCCTGTCAAAAATCTGCTCATTTGTTAATTAGCTGAAATGAAAACAAAAAAGTTTCATTATTGCATAATAATGGAATTAAGAATATTTTCCTAGCACACAATATGGGTATTTATATTTGAAGATCTTTATTTGCTTCCACTATGACAAACCCAGGATGATTTTACAAAAGTAGGTGTACAAAGAAAGTGCTTGTTTGGGTTTTTTCTCTTTTTTTTTACACATAAATGCCACTTACATTCTTTCTTTATGTTGTCACCTCAGATGAGTTCAGTAAAACTCCTACGGCCACGTCTCAACGGCATTCTGTTCAAGCTGACGTTTGAGGAGCAGGTGAATAACATCCGACCCGACATCATGAATGTGACATTTGCTTGTGAGGAGGTGAAGAAGAGTGAAGGTTTGAGCAAACTCCTGGAGTTGGTTTTGCTGGTTGGCAATTACATGAATGCCGGCTCAAGAAACGCCCAAACCTTCGGTTTCAACGTCAGCTTCCTTTGCAAGGTAACGTAAACAGCACACATTTAAAAAAACAAAACATGTTGGTTAAATGTCTAAAATGAGAACAGAAATGAAAATGAAAGGTGAAATTTAATAACTGTAACTGTATCACGTGATTTTCAGCTAAAGGATGGCAGATTTATAAGAACATAAGGGAGGTAACTAATTAATTCAGAATCATTAAATCAGCATTTTTTCACAGTTTCGTCATATTTTAACATTAAAGATGATTCAAAATGTATTGATCTGATTTTACGTTTTAAGTGATCCCAATTTGTACAAAAAGTCAGTACCCCCCCGATGTTTATGCTGCACTTCTCCTCCAAGTTAGTAGCGGCCAGGTAGTTTTTTGCATACTTGCTGACAGACAAACAAACAGCAACATTTTCCCTCCACCTCAGCTTTCACCTTGGAGGAGGAAAAATGTTTCAATAGACAAAATAACACAAACACTGGGAGGTATGAAGCTGCCAGCAAAGGCTACATCCGTGTTCACTGCCAGGTAAAATCACAGCATCCAAAGGTGTGAAAGAGAAGACTGGCAGCCATGCACACACACTTACAAAAGCACAACAAAGCCATCAGCCCCACAGCCGAAACAGCTAGGGTTAGTCATGATACCATGAGTTGAAGTACATTTGTTATTGTACATGATTGATTGACATAAGTACCGTATTTCCCGGACTACAAAGAGCACCTGAATATTAGCCGCACAAGCTAAAATCAGGGGAAAATCCTGTTTTGTACATACATTAGCCGCACCTGACTAAAAGC